ATGTATGCCTAGAGTGAGGCATGTGGTGGAGTTGTGCGAGAATGCGTGCCTGCCATGAGTGTGTGATCACCTAAAATACCCCAAAGCGTCATACGCTAGGTTCAGATAATAATGAGTTGTGTGATCACCTAAGGACCTTCGGGTCGATACCGTCCTCATGCACTTTGAAGCAGGACGATGCCCGGTACGTCCGGAAGACGACCATCCTCATGCACTTTGAAGCAGGCTCTGGTTCGTAAAGAGATCAGTGTTGCGCCTCATGCACTTTGAAGCAGGCTAGAGACACTGGGCCAGATCGGTTGCCGCGCCTCATGCACTTTGAAGCAGGCTAGACGCACTAGGCCGTGAATATTGTTGACTCGAGTCGTAATAAATAATAAATTGGGCGATTGCCAGTGTGTCAGTGTGGGCCAGTGGGCCGGAAAATGCATATGACATGTCAACGACATTTGCATGCAGGAACATGCATAGACTGGCATGCGAGTGTGTGAGACTCGGTGCATGAGCATGTGATTGGCGTACGTGTGACTATGTGTGCCACGTATGTGTCGTGATGATTATATATTGAACTGTCTAACCTGCAGGGTTAGAGAATCATTGATTGTTGTTGTGTTATGGTTTTTAAATATTTGTTTCCGATCAGAAGATTGCATGCTAGCCTAGCCTAGGTTTAGGGGTTGAACTCACTGAGATTCGTCTCACGGTTGTGTAAATCGAAACTTTTCAGACCCCCGGCCGTAAGGATGGAGAGACCACCGCCTCTTTTTGGGATTCACGTACAAATTCGGCAGTATACTAGTACCTACCCCTCAGGAAATGGGGAGGCTTTCGTGAGGTATTGATCAGAACTAATTGTGAATATAGGCGAGTATTTTTACCAGAAGCAGGAGTACATGGCGTGGTGCCACCGGAATGCCAATGGAAATGAGGGAGAGCCCCTCAGGACCTTTGATATCCCAGTCGATAGTGTTGGGTTGTTGCACCCAATTATAGCTGATGGTGAGGTGATAAACCCTGAGGTCATGCTCGAGTGGATGAGGCAGGAGGAAGAGATAGATGAGGAGCCCGATGTACTAGTGGAGGACCCCGAGCCTATGGATGAGGAGGAGGATGACGAACCCGAGGCCATGGAGCAGGACGTAGGGGAGGACGGAGAGGTTGCAGAGCTGGGATCAGACGAGGAGGGGTTCGAGATTTACCTGGACCCGGAGTTGGAGCTGGACTCCGAGGACGAGCGAGCTCAGGCTATGGATTCAAAGGAGTCGGGGACTAGCAAGGATGCCTCCGAGGAGCTGTCAGATGATTCTACTGAGTCGTCTGATCCTAACTGGGAGCCATAGAGTCGTCCCGTGTCCTTAGCCAGTAGTGAGGGCCGCTACTTTTTGGACTGTAGCCCTCTTCTCAAGTTTTAGCCTAATCTCCCTAGCCGCTTACCATTTTTTGACAAAGTGGTTACTGATCGTGTGTACCTTTTGTTTGTACTTGTAAATATTGTACAAATGGTTTTTAATAGCAATATAAATGTGTAATTACTTTCTACGATGGTGTTTGATGTATGGCTATCCTTGGCTCATATTGTAGTTGTCTGGGTTTGTTTATTTTATGCTTCCGCTTGTGTTTGATCTCTGTATGGGTGTGGGTCGGCGACGCTTCTTGGGACGTCGCAGTCAAACGACCGAAGGTGGGATGCTCGCGCTTCGTGGGGTACGGGGCGTGACAAAACTGGAATCTGCGAGCGGAGGAGAGGAACCCATTTCTAGCTGCAACAATGCCTTTGGAACTGCAAAAGGAACCGTCGAGCCCCAGTCCTGCCTTCAATGATTATGAAAAAGAAAGCTGCCGGTGGTTGAGAACCCAGAAGTAGATCGAGCATGTCTAAAATGCGTACATATCAAAGTGAAAAAACAGAAACTTCCTTTATTGCATTTGTAGATTTGCAAATGTTTTGAGCGCAGACTGACTAGTGTGTATGGGTGCTCATCACCAATGACCACAAATATGAAAGGTGAACTTCCACCTCCGCTCTCCTTACCAAAAAAAAAAAAACTTCCACCTCCACTCCAATGAATAAAATGAATGCTTCATTTATTTGCTCGCTACGTATACTTCGTCCTCATGATACAGTTATTAAATAACTTAACACAGCTTCATGAACTTATAATTACACGATGAAATGGGAATAGGTTTACAGTATCCAGAGACAGGGAGGACGCATATGGGAACTATAAGAAGGATGCCAGTTGAGGGAAGGGTAAGTCAATATACTCCATTATCTTCAACGCATCGTCTGATATGATGATATATGACCTGAAATTCATGGAAAAGTTTATGTTTCTTGTTTGCTTTGTTTTTTCACCATTATCGAACGGTGGACATTTCTTCAGAATCTCATCTCTAGCTGTGAAGGCGACAAATATTCAAATTGAAGGACTTTCCCATCGTTACTAATATCATCTTAAAATAAAAATAACAAGAGGCCAAACACGTGAGGTAGCCTTCCTCTTCCTTGAGCTTAGGGTTTCGAATCTGTTTCTTCCTTTGTTCCAGATTGCGTAGCACAAGCTAACCCGAGCGATTGCAGTAAGCTGATCCAGGAATCACAACTCATTAATTTTACTGGTGTTGGTGTCGTAAACTTGATGCTTTTCCTAGCTCGTGGTCATGAACTTGTCTAGTCATTCACCTCATCTGTTTTATCCTGCTTGATGATGCAAAAAGATAGGAATTGCAGGGCCATAGACCATGAGAACGCGTCTTCTTTCTGGCAGTTACTGGGTAGTTTTGTTTATTAGATTTTTTTCCATAGTTATATCTTGTTCTTTGAAACTGGGTTAAATACAAGCATTATATCTGCGTGTATTGTGTATATATATTGTGCTGTCTGATTTATTTGGACCCCCGGTTTCTGCTGATAGGTCTGAATTGTATGCATTCCACGCGCTACATTCTTCCATTTGTTGGTCTCAGCAGTTGATCGTCCTTCCTCACACTAACTGTTAGGACAAGTCGGTCTGTTAATTAATGGCCTTGCGCCGTGAGCTTCTGTACGTCGAAGAAGTGCCATTCTTCATGCGTTGCTGGTCTTGCTGCACGTTTAACGTGCCCGTTGTATTATTAGTCCGTAGTCAGCACAGAACGGGATAATCTACTGTAATTTGCGAAAATGTTGAACAGAAACAATGGGACGGATTCTCACCTGACTAATTAAGCAGGCGTGCGTACTCATCAGGATGCATCTAATATATGTGGATTCTCAGCCGACAATTGAGCAGGCATGTGTACTTTAGACCTAAGGAGGCTAGGAGGTCTGAGTCAAGGGTGGAGGTTCTTGACCCAAATAATGGAAGTTGGACTTGTCTTCCTGAGCTGAAATCCCCTTGTTTGGAATCTCCTCATTATAGAGAATCTGATGGGTGCTGCTATGAAGTTTCAGCTGTTGCTGTACACAAGACGAATATTATTTTATCGATGTTCTGTATGCGAGTGATCCAGACGGTGGATGGAAGCCACACCTTGAGACAGCGCCTTATTCTATGCGGCTTGCATATCATGTCGACGAGCGACGGTACGCTGTTTCTCTTGGATCAATGACATGGAGGGCTTGCGATTTAAGACCTGGGAAACCTTTCGTCGAAGGAATTGACGTTTTGAATCTGGAGCCACGGTCGACCATGGTGCGGTGCGAGCGTGATCGACAGTTGGCCAATATGGGAAGCCGGTTGTTGACTATCTTGTGTGTAGGTTCTGGTTCCAAGTCCTTCGTGCAGGCTGTTATAGCTCTAAAAAAATTTGAAGAACATAAATTTAACTTGGAAAAACAAATTAATTTCACCTAACATAAACTTAAATAAACATAATTGCTATCATATTCATCATCCTCTCGTGAAACTTTTGCTCCTGGTGCGATTACGATCATCTATGGAACTATCTATATCTAAAAAGTCTACATATTATATATCATCACGGACCAAAAAATGAATGGAAGTTGTCTTTTTCCTATTTAACAAAAAGCATCTTCATCAAATAAGTAAGTTCCAAACTAATACAATGCTCTATTAACACAGTAAAAGTATGTAGTTAAATTTTTTGTCTACATGTCTTTGATAACCATACATACCAATTCTCTTGATTATCCATTTAGTCTATTTATATTTTGTCCGGCTAATTTGCCAAACCATCTCGATATTATATCCTTGAAAGTGTTTTATACAACCTAGTAACAATGAAACACCGATCTTATATTGCATTCGGGAAAGAAAGATCAATTTTAATATTTTCATAAAACTTTATCAATTAGTATACTCTATTGCAGTTTTAATTTTTATCTAATCATAAATGGCATCATGGGCTTTCAAACTTGAATGTATAACGTGCATACAGCCCTTTTGGGATTGGAACGTTCATTCACAACACTGTGTTGATGAATACATGATCCAATCCATGGGACAGTGAGCCGCAAGATAGCCCTTCACTTACAAACAGAAAGAAAAAGGATATATGTCAAGTATTGAGATAGGGCAAGAAGTGCCCTCAGATTTTCAAATAAGAACTTGAAGTGGTTATGTCGGTCTCAAATAAGGACGTGAAATGATCGTGGAAGTTTAAATAAGGGACTGACCTTGCCGGTTGCCGGCCGGCTAAATATTCCGACCGATCAAGGGCATTTTCGTCCAAAGACAATTTTAATTATTTTTTCTTTTTATTTTTCTCATTTCTTTTTATTTTTCTTTTTAACGAGGGCCCGGCGACCCTCGTTGGCCGCTGGGGCAAGGGCCGGCCACAAGCGAGGGTGGCCCTTGCCCATGGCTTTCGAGGGCAACCACGCCCGGGCAAGGGCCATTGATCATCCGGGAAGTTTGGGCTCTTCTTTGAAATTAACATAACTACTTTAGACACTTATTTAAAATAAAATCCATTTCAAACCCTTATTTGAGAAAATGATGGCACTTCAGGTTCTTATTTGGAATTTTCACTGAGTTTAGATCTTGATGCGTGATAAATAAACAAGGGAAAGCAACAATTTTAACTTCTTATTAAACCATTCACAAATCTTCAAATGCAGGAAATAAAGCTTCAAACTCTTTTCACTTTGATTTGTACACATTTTAGATATGCTCGATCTACTACTGGGTTCTCAACCACCGGCAGCTTTCTTTTTCATAATCATTGAAGGCAGGACTTGGGCTCGACGATTCCTACTGTAGTTCCAAAGGCATTGTTGCAGCTAGAAATGGGTTCCTCTCCTTCGTTCGCAGATTCCAGTTTGATGGTGTCCAAGTTGATGTTGGTGCATGGGACGTTGTTGCTGCAATTTAGGTTGATGGCCACTTTCGTGCTGGACGTCCCGAATGCCATTTGGTAATGCACGTCGCTTATCTGTACTCCCGTTTCCTATCAACACGTCCACAGATGATTAAGTTCAATTCGGCTGACGAAGCTAAATTCGGAAGCCTTGGCAAACATAATCTTCGAACGTATACGTTGTCCGTGATCGTGATTACCGATGATAGTCACTAGTTCAGTCAACTTTAATCATTTAAGGATTATTTGTTCTCGTCTTACCGTTTTGGGACAAGCATCCCGAGCATCGCAGTAGTACTGGTCAATGATGATGGGGTTTTTCACCGCGGTGAACCTGAGATTCGAGAAAAAAACTTGGCTAACTCGGCCTCTTCCCTCCTGTCAATTTCGTAAATTTTACTTCAGTTTTATTCCAACCTCATTTCTTCTAACGCAGATAAATGAATGTATTGACAAACTCGGACATACCTGCCAAGTTTTAATTCTAGCTCCATTAGTTGACCCGTAAAAGTCGACGTTCTTCACGTGGATGTTGCTGACACTTACTTCCTCTCCATCCTTTCCCAAGCTTCCAATGCTGTCCCCACCAAAATTGCACCAAAAGCATGTACATTAATACACCTTCACAGCTTACAACTTGCCGCAAACCCATGATAATAGGGTTGCTGTTTTATACCGTGTTTGGCACCATCTATCACGCATGAGTCTACCTGATATTTTCTTGGATGTTTAGGTTTCGTATAGTAACGGTGCATTTACCTTATTCCATGACCAGGTCCACACTGGATGTCAGAAACACTGATATTCGAGGTCTTGTCGCTGATCGAGATGCAATCGTCGCCTGTCGATGAAACACCATAAGGCGATGAAATGTTACATTCATTTTCACAAACGCAACATGTCCTTCAATACAACTGAAATTATGAGAGAAAAGGAATTGAAATGTCTAAAAGTCTTGAGATAATTAGACTGATTCTCTCCCGAAAGCAAATGTCAAGCAACAAAAGAAAACACACACAGATAGTCTCAGAGGAAAGCAATGCATCACCGGTGCCTATAATTGAAGAACGAACAGAGACACCATGAGAAGATCCAATGTGGATTCCGTCGGTGTTGGGGCTCTCCTCGGGTGCGGAAATGTTCAAGGACTTCATGTAAACGTCGCTGCTTCCATAAACAATTAAATGCATCTGAGGACTGTTCTTGAAGTGCAGATCTTGCAAATACACTCCATTGCACTTTTCGATACGGAGCGTCTGCAGTAGCCCATGTCATTCAAGTACCGGACATTAGCTTTTTTCGTTCGAAAGTGCTATAGTTTTAATGTTATATTGACGAAACATTCCCCTTTTACATCTTTTGTTAACAAAAGCTGCTTTTCCTATACATAGCTACTAGTTAGATTAAAATTATTACTGCCTAATATTTAATTTGTCCTTACGATTTTCAAGTTGTAATCGAGAGTACATGAGATTATCTGGGAACAATTGTCACTAACAAACTTACGAGGAAAAATTGGTGAGAAATCAACTGAATTTCCAAAAGAGTAGAACAGTGGCAGAGTTTGTGACAAGGAGTTGAAACTTTTTCTAGCCTAGGTAAGAAATTGTTGCTCGTCACGGTGATCGGGGCATTGAGTCTGGCCATCCTCAGATTGAAGTGTATTGAGACTCAATTTATCAGCTAGAACTAGAGGAACACAGAAGCTGCTACATTGTGCAATGCTATTTGGAAAGACTGGCTTAATTTATATGTACGTATCTATTTGCATTTCTTCTCTTAAACGAATCCTCATAGGATCTTAACTATAAACAGCAATGGAAGAGAGAAAGTATCATGAATATTGCGCGATACTTACAGTCGGCGCGTACGTATTGCATCCCTGGTCCCCAAACAAATCAAACAAGAGAAAGAAGGGTTAGAAGTACAAAAGAAGTAGCATTGCAATTTGGAAATTTGAAATTACAAGCGTTTTGATTCTTAATAAAAAATTTGGAAGAAGAAAAAGGGATGATTTTTCGTTACGGTCGTGGGGTTCAATTTGCAGGAGAGGTCCCACCAGGGCTTGCCATTTCCATCAAACGAGCCCGGCCCACTTATGGTGAGCCCATTTATACTGTCGAAAATCAACCATTGATTCTTCTCCTTCCAAGCACTTGGATCTTTTGGTGCTATGATCTCTCCTAATACCTGCAATCCAATGTAAACGAGGATTATCGAACTCCCAAACCCCATTAGATCTGAACATGTAAGTTCGTTAAATCCTAGATCCGGTACTTTTCCATGCAATAAGAGTTGATCTCGTCGACTTGAGATTCTGTTCCGTTTATAAAAGAAACACCATCCATGTCGATATCTTATCTTGAATATGATAATCTAAAAATCTCGAGTTGGCACTTTGGTGCGGAAACAAAATGAGACTATGATCAATCCCCTATTCGCTCGAAAAGGATTCGATAGGTCGATGTATGGACTAAATAAGGGGAAGCAAGAAAAAGAGATATGTTGTCTCTATTTCACTTACTGTGAAATTGATATTCGACTTGCAAGGGCCTGCAAATTCCATAATGTTCAAAAGGTAGGTCTTTCCTTGTGGAACGTCGATGGTCGACGTCCCTTCTTCTGCGTTGCATGCATCATTCCACGCCTTTGTAAATGCCTACGCGTATTTCAACATGAAATCGTGAGATTTTTCGAATATTAATCTCTTATTGTCAAGTCACAAGGAAATCTTTTACACGGCCTACCGATATGGACAGGTACCAAATACTAATCACAGTGTTACCGAATCTTAATACGTATAAGTAAATAGCTGGACATAAAATTATACCGAGGAGTCGTCGGTTTGCCCATTGCCAACTGCTCCATAGTCTGAAACGCTGAACGTTTTGTCAGCAACACTGACCTCGATTTCACTTGCTAACAGTAGTGTAGAGACCAGGATGAACAAACATACAAAAATCGAGAAACCCTACACACACAAAAAATCATATTAGGCATGAAAGAATCCAAGATGACAACCACCGGGGCCTTGCCCTAGCGGTTACTATTCCTCATGGAAATGGGGAGTTGGGGAGTTCGAAACTCCCCTCCTCCGGATAGGGGGGGTTTATGGGGTGGGCCCGCCAAACTCTTTGTAGAGGAGTTCCAAAGTCCGGAAATAACAGATGGCCGACCAAAAAAAAGAAGAAGAATTCAACATAATATTTCATTTGCAGCTCGTTTTGACATATTTACCATAAGTACTTCCTCTGGAAGAAACAAATCGCAAGGCAAAGAAGCAGATAAAAATGTTGTAAAATGGAGTGATATATAAAGTGGATCGTACTTATCTTCCTAAGGGAAAGAAATCTAAATTCGATCGGTACAATCTTCAGTTTCCGCAATGTAAAATTGCCCTATTGGAAGGAATCGAACTCATTCATGCAATGCAATCAAGCAAAATTTATAAAAAGAGAAAAAAGAAGAACAAAAACAAAGATAGGTTGTTCTAACTCATCGACTGGTGGATGAAAGATCAATCCCTAATTAGCAATTAGTAGTAAAATATTTCAGATAAATCCTCAATTTTGGCAACTATTCTAGATTCTCTAATTGGAAAATGCTTAATTTGCCAATTTGTCCACCACATCAGAGGAATGTAGAGATTGCCTATCTGAATTTAACAACTATCCTTTCTCGACTCCACGCAAATCACGTTGTAGTAAATACAACGTGGAACAGGAAGCTATCTGAACCTTTTTGGGGAGGATTTGACATTTTAAATGCGAGCTCCAATGCTTTTTGGGGGAAATCTGTGTGCATTTCCTTCTTTCTTTCTTTGCTTCAATTTTTGCAGTTTTTGTACTCCCTCGCGACCGTTACCCACCTGTAATCAGGAGAAAGGAATCTCGAATTCAATTACGTTCGGGGAGAGCCGTTCGAAATCATGCCATGATTATCGAGTGGATGATGAGTCGGGCCGAAGATGTGGCATGAGGCAACCGGCTCGATATTTTCTCACTTATGTGTGTGTGTTTGCCATGCATTCTTCACGTTGAAGGGTCGTGCAATAGGGGAATAGTGAAGGGATTGCTTCAAACTTCAAAAGGGTTGAATCTTCATTCTTCACGTTGAATGCCTTTTAGTTTGGCAACATATATTTGAATTTTTTCTACTTGCTTAGAGACAGATTTTCCATAAATTCAAAATGTTTCAAAGCAACATCTCTTGATTCCACAATAATATTAGATTCAACATCTAATAATCGATAAGCTTAACCAACAAACACATCTTCTAATGCCCTTAGTCCTAATTTTGTTTGCTTAGGATCACAAATTCTATAATACGCAAGGCGTCCTCATTCTTTAAAATATTGGATATTCGATACCTTTCCTTTTCATAATTCATGTGGAGATATCTTGAATTTTTTGATAGGATTTTGTTGTGAACATGACATGCGCAAGAGGTGCTTCTCCCCACTAATTGATTAGTGATTTTGCTGATAAGATCATGGAATTAACCATATGTACAAAAATTCGATTCTTTCTTTCTGCCATTCCATTTTGTTGTGGTGTACAAGGTGTACTTACTTGATGCACAATACCATTTTCTTCACAAAATGGAGAAAAATCTAATGAGAAGTATTCTCCTTTCCGATCACTTCTCAAAACTTTGAGTTTTTTACTTTTTTTGCATCCTTTTGATTTTCAGCTATGGCCTTATATCTTGAACTCATCAAATGCTTGATCTTTTGATTTTCAACTATGGCATAATATCTCAAGACAACGCCTTATTCTATATGGCCCGCGTATCATGTCATAACTCTAAATTGAGGAAAATAAAATTTACTTGGAGAGATAAATTTATTTCACCTAACATAAACTTAAGAAACATGATTACCATCGTATTCACCATCCTCGCGTGAAACTTTTTCTCCTATTGGTTTGAAATTCAAATGCACATATAGTGAGCTCACATTAATTTATGAAAATTTCAATGTTTAAATAATGTACGTATCATATATCATCACCTGACCAATATATAAATGGATAGAATGCCCTATCAATACATTAAAGTACTTAGTTAAATTGTTTGTCTACATTGCATGTTAGTGTTTTTGTATTTTGTCTGGCTAATTTGCCACAGTATTTCTATATTATATGGTCAGAAGTATTTTTATACAACTTAGTCACAATGAAACACCGTTCTTATATTGCATTCGAGAAAGAAAGATCAATTTTGATATTTTCGTAAAACTTTATGAATTAGTATACTCTATTGTAGTTCTAAGTTTTAACCAATCATAAATAGCATCCCGGGCTCTCAAACTTGAATATGTAATGTACATACAGCCTTTTCGGGATTGGAAAGCTCACTCACAGCACTGTGTTGATGATCCCATGATATCATCCATGTAACAGTGAGCCGCAAGATAGCCCATCACTGACAAACTACAAGAACAGGACATATGTCGAATTTTGATCTTGATGCCTGAAAAATAAACAAGGGAAAGCAACGATTTTAACTACTTTTGAAACCGTTTGCAAATCTTCATATGCAGTAAAAGAAGCTTCAAATTCTTGTCACTTTGATTTGTATACATTCTAGATATGCTCCATCTACTACTGGGTTTTCAAACGCAGGCGGCGTTTTTCTTATAATTGTCGAAGGCAGGACTTGGGCTTGACGATTCCTTTAGCAGTGCCAAAGGCATGGTTGCAGCTAGAAATGGGTTCCTCTCCTCGGATTGCAGAGTCCAGTTCGACGGCGTCCAAGTTGATGTTGGTGCATGGGGCGTTGTTGCTGCAATTTAGGTTGATGGCCACTTTCGTGCTGGACGTCCCGAATGCCGTTTGGTAATGCACGTCGCTTATGTGAACTCCAGTTTTCTGTCAACACGTTCACAGATGATTGAGCTCAATTCAGCTGAGGAAGCTAAATTCGGAAGCCAGGCAAAACATAATCTTCGAATGTATACGGTGTCTGTGATCGTGATTACCAACGATAGTCACCAGTTCAATCAACTATAATCATTTAAGGAATATCCATTCTCGTCTTACCGTCCGGGGACAACCATACGGAGTATCGCAGTAGTACTGGTCTATGATGGTGGGGTTTTTTACCGCAGTGAAGTTGAGATTCGAGAAAGTAACTTGGCTTACTCGGCCTCTTCGCACCTGTCGATTTTGTAAATTTCACTTTGCAATTTTATACAAGCTTCATTTCTTCTAAATGTCAATGAGAAACTGTCACACAGATAAATGAATGTATTGACAAACTCGGACATACATGCCAAGTTTTAATTCTAGCTCCATTAGTCGACCCATGAAAGTTAATGTTCTTCACGTTGATGTTACTAACACTTACTTCATTTCCATCCTTTCCCAAGCTCCCAATGCTGTCCCCGGCAAAATTGCACCAAAATCAAGTACATCAATACACCTTCACAGCTTAAAACTTGCTGCAAACCCTTGATAATTGCATCGCAGATTTTTACCATGTTTGGCACCATTTATCCGTATGAGTCTACCTAATATTTTCTTCGATGTTTAGGTTTCGTATGGTAAAAGTGCATTTACCTTATTCCATGGCCAGGTCCACACTTGATGTCAGTAACACTGGTATTCGAGGTCCGATCGCCGATCGAGATGCAATCATCGCCTGTTGATGAAACACCATAAGGGGATGAACCGTTACAATCATTTTCACAAACCCAACATGCCCTTTAATCCAACTGAATATTTTGAGAGAAAAGGAATTGCATTGTCTAAAAGTCTTGAGATAATTAGACTGATTCTCTCCCGAAAGCAAATGTCCAGCAACAAAACAAAACACACACAGATAGTCTCAGAGGAAAGCAATGCATTACCGGTGCCTATGGTTGAAGATTGAACAGAGACAGCACGAGAAGCTTGAATGTGGATTCCGTCGGTGTTGGGGCTCCATTCGGGTGCAGAAATGTTCAAGAACTTCAGATAAACGTCGCTGCTTCCATCAACAGTTACGTGCACCTGAGGACTGTTCTTGAAGCGCACATTTTGCAAAATCACTCCATTGCAGTTTGCGATACTTATCGTCTGCAATAATCCATGGCATTCAAGTACCAGACATTAGCTTTTTTCGTTTGAAAGTGCAATGGTTTTAATGTTATATTGGCGAAACATTCCTCGTTTACGGTTTTGGTTAACAAAAGCTGCTTTTCTTTAACACAGCTACTAGTTGGTTAAGAAAATTATTGATGCCTAGAATTTAATTTGTCCTTACAATTTCCAAGTTCTAATCGAGAGTACATGAGATCATCCCGAACGATTGTCACTAACAAACTAATGAGGAAAAGTTGGTGTGAAATCAGCTGAATTTCCAAAAGAGTTAAACAGTGGCAGCTGAATTTTCTAGCCTAGGTGAGAAATTGTTGCTCATCACAGTATTTTGGGGCCTTAAATCTGGTCATCCCCAGATTGAAGTGTATTAAGAGTGAATCTGTCAACTTGAACCAGAAGAAGAATTAGGTAGCTGCATGATGCAACATTATATGGAACTAAATTAATTTAATCGAGGGGCTACTAATTAAAGCCCGAGCGCATGAACGTCAAAATTTTCACCCCATCAAATCATTTCCTAAACTAGTATCGTGTTAACCACAAGAAAACCGGATGCATTAGTGGGTATTAACTAGTAAGAAAGCAATACGCTTATGTTATGTACATGCCTATATGTACCTCTTCTCCTAAATGAATCTTCTCAAGAACTCAACTGTATATAGCAATGGAAGAGAAAGTATCATGAATGCTGCAAAAGACTTACTGTTGGGGCGAGCTTATTGCATCCCTGGTCCCCAAACAAATCGAACATGAAAAAGAAGGGTCAGAACTACAAAACAAGTAGCATTACAATTCGGAAATTTGAAATACAAATGTTTGATTCTTAATCAAAATTTGCTGAAAAGGGGTTGAAATTTCGTTACTGGCTTGGGGTTCAATTTGCAAGAGATGTTCCACCAGGCATTGCCATATCCATCAAACAAGCCTGGCCCACTAATGTTGAGCCCATTCACATTCTCAAAAGTCAGCCACTTGGCTGGATCGTACCCCTTCCATGCATTTGGATCTTTTGGTGCTATGATCTTCCCTGATACCTGCAATCGCATTGAGGAAGGATTACTCACAAACTTCATTAGATCTGAATGATTAAAGTCCACTAAGGCTTCACTTGTTCGCGGAAAATGAACAATTTGAAAAATATTTTTCTAAAAATAATCTTTTGTATTATTTAAAATAATTAACCAATTAAAAATGTTTTCATTATCGATAACAATTTATACCAAATATTTTTCGCTTATTCGTTTTTGTAAGCGATATAAAACGATCATTTTTTAAAATTGTTTTCGAAATCCTTCATTTCCCGCAAAACAAACGCACCCTAAATCCTAGATCTAGTACTTTCCATGCAATTAAAGCTAATCGCATTGAAGTTAAGACTTTCTTTCATCTATTAAAGAAGCACCATATGTTTTGACCTTTTATAAGTGGAAGAGAGAAAAAGAGATATGTTGTCTTTATTTTACTTACTGCGATATTGATATAAGACTTGCAAGGGCCCACAAAATTGATAGGATTTAAATGGTACTTCTTTCCTTGCGGAACGCTGATGGTCGATGCCCCCGCCTTTGAGCTGCATGCATCCTTCCACGCCTTTGTAAATGCCTGCGCGTATTTCAATATCAAATTATGAGATTCATTGAATATGATCTTTTATTGTCACGTCACAACGAAATTCTTTACACGGCCTACATACATGGACTGCTACAAAAAAGTAGTCAAGACGTTGCTTAATCTCGGTACGTATAACTAGATAGATCAACATAAAACTATACCGAAGAATCATCGGTGAGCCCATTGCCAACCACTCCATAGTCCGAAACACTAAATGTTTTATTGGCAACACCGACCTTAGATTCATTTGTCAACAATAGTGCAGAAACTAGGATCAACGAACATATAGAAATCGAGAAACCCTATACAGAAAAAAGCATGTTAGGGGCTATAAGAATCCTAGTACATGTTTTTTGCAGCTCATTTCAAGATGTTTACCATAGCTACTTCCTCCAGAGGAACAAATTACAAGGCAAAGAAGTAGACAAATTGTTAAATCCTTTTATTTAACCCTTGTAAACGTAAAATTACGCAAGGAGTTGATTTAAAGGGGATAATTCTTGCTTTCATAAGGGAGAAAGTTGTAAATTCGGCATTATAATTGTCAGTTTCCATATGTATAAGTACCATCTTGGAAGGAATCGAACCTATCCACCATATTAGAGGAAAGCACGTTATTGTATGTCCTCCTAGGCTAAGTTTGATAACTGTGTTTGGTTCCTGCCCAAAACAAGATAAAGTCATATATAAGAAGCATATACCCAAAATAAAATTATCCCATGAGGGGAAGTGGGATAAAGGTGGATAAGTAACCAATGTATCATGGTATGAAAGCTATTTTTCTTAAATAACAAACTTCTTAGATAATAAAACTAAAATAATAATAAAATTTGAATTCTAATATAAAAAATAAAATAAAAAATAAATTTCATTTTTATTTATATATTTGAATTTCTTTCTACTCTATAATATTTATTTTGTGTGTGTGTGTATTTAGTGTCTATATTATTACATATTTTAGGTATATAGTATAGTTTATTATTTGATAAAATTTTTATGAAGAAATGATAAAAGGGAATAGAAAAATAAAAAAAAGATATGGAAAATAAAAATAATTTGTAAATAAAAATGAAGTAGAAGAATTCAGATTTTAAATGAACAAATTCAAACTTGAAAATAATCTTTCTAATTCTAGAAGACTGACGGGCACTGGAATTTCTAAAAAAAATGGGTAGCATAGAAAAATGAAAATATCTAACTTTATATCATATCTCATCGAATCCTATCCTATCATATTCTCGTTAGAAATCCAGACCACCAAACGCAACCTTAATATTTCTCTTCATATACCACATGAATTAGGAAGTTATCCCAACCTTTTGGCGAATTGTGACACTCCAAAAATGAGCTCCAATGCTTTAGGGGAATCTATGTGCATTCCCTTCCTTCCTTCCTTCTTTCTTCTTTGCTTCATTTTCTTTAACAGTTTTTGCACTCCGCACCTCTAATTAGTAGATAGAAATCTCGAGTTCAATCACATTTGAAGAAATCTCGAGTTCAATCACATTTGAAGAGCCATTCGAAATCATGTCGTAGTTTTCGAGCGGATGACAAGTCAGTTGATGATGTGACTTGTGGCAGCCGGCTCAATATTTCCTCGCGCAAAGTACCTTAGCTCAACTCATATCAAGAAAGTAGAAGAGATGTGTGTTTGCCATGGGAATAGTGAAGCGGGGTTGCTTCAACTCCAAGGGTGTTGAATATTCGTACGACCGTGAAGCCTCCACTCCGCTCTTGATTTTGACCCAGCGCAATTCAAGATCTTACGGTACGATGCCATCGTTCTATAAGTTCGTGACACTCGTACTTCTTTAAGAATTAAGCAAGGAATGGAATAATCAAATGAGAAGGCACCTCTGTATAATTCTAAATAAACCGTTTCCCAATCCCTAAGAACCCTAGGCATGGAAGCGTTCTTCTAATAACCAAGCTGGCTCAAACTTTCACATATAGTCAAGCAACCGATACACGTTAGGTTCTAGTTTCCTAGTTACTGCTTATGGAGGCTTTGATTTATTTTTTGGTAGTTGCGTTCAAATAAATTCATATCTCTGCTCGGGTTGAAAGCCGGTGTTCGCAATCGAACTAGGAGTTTCGCAAGCAATCGCCATCATTTCCTCTGTAGGTCCGAACACCAATCATTTCGTCGACCAAAATTGGAGATGACTAGAATGGTAACTTTGCTGTTGCTTTTGCATGCTTTCGAGGCATTATCTTCTCTTCCTCCCATTACCAAAATTTGACCAGACTTTGAGTTCATATCTGTTTTCATTCTTGCGAAAGCTTATATTTGTTGAGGAAAACTCCTATTGATTTTGAAGTTGACAAAACCTTCCATGTTATTATAAATCTGATACTTATTCTGAACTATTTTATTCCAGGTATGTATATATATTCTGGAAGCTCAAAAGGAAGTTTTTCAGACTTTACAAGCTGGCAAAATAAGAAGTTCATATCTTATTGAAGACCCACATAATCTAAGTTCTGAGACGCAGACGCAGAAGTTATTCAAATGCAGACGCAGGTGCAGAAATTATTCAGACGCAGACGCAGACGCAGACACAGAATTTCTTCAGACGCAGAACTCAGAACGAAACATAATAGCTAGTGATCTGGCTTGGATTTCACAGAAGGAAAGTTTTGATTGTCTTAATCTCAAACAAATTGATTGACAATCAAACACTACGACAAGTATGCATTACAACAGATAAAGCTCTACTTATGGAAACCAAGATTCTGATTGTATGGGCGACCAGAATCAGCGGGATTCAGACTCTGTCATCCAACGGCTACTCAATCCATTTTATACAAATTTGTCCAAGGTGAAGATTGGAAGATGATCCTCTGAAAGCTGTCCAACGGCTAGTTTGGAAGTTGAGGAGTATTTAAAGAGATCAACGAGCAGCAGAAGATAGACACAGAATCAAGAATCAACAAGTCCAAAGTCTGAGCATACTCCGATCATTTCTCTTTTCTTTCTAAGCCAAAAATTAAGATCTTGAGGGACACTTTGTAAGAGTGATTGTGTAAGATAGAGAGTCCTATCATACACAAGAGTGCTGTCACTCATAAGTTGTAATTCCTCTTGATTACATAGTGAAATTCAGCCGGTAGGCTGTCAGCGTGGGAGAGTGGACGTAGGCTTGCTATAAGCCGAACCACTATAAACTTGTGTGCAGTTTTTCTATCCCTTATCTCTTACTGTACACACTGCACATCAAGAGCACTGTCTATATAAACTGTTTTGAATCTGAATTTTATTCAGACTCAACTGTGATCTTTCATTTCAGCGTAAATTGATAAAAATTGTTTAAGATCACCTATTCACCTCCCTCTAGGTGATCCTTGCTAGCTACATCAATTGGTATCAGAGCAAGTTGCTCACTTATTGAAGTGTTTTACTTCTAAGCTAACGATCTATATGGCTAGCTTGAGTGTCCCAGGTCTCATTGAAGGACAAAGCAACAACAGACCACCATATTTCGATGGCAATGAATATAGTGTCTGGAAGAATAAGATGAAGGCATTCATAAAGTCAATTGATCACATGCAATGGGATGTCATCATCAGAGGAGTCAATCCAAAATCTTCTGATTCAAAAGAAAAGGCAAACGGAAGCAAAGCAGCAGATCCTCCATTATCTCAAACTGAGATATCTAAAAGAGAAACCTTAGATTCCAAAGCAATTTATTCTTTCTATTGTGCCTTATCACCTATTGAATATAAAAAAATTGCTGCTTGTGAATCAGCCAAGGAAATCTGGGATACTCTCCTCACTACTTATGAAGGAAAAGATCGAGCCAAGGAAACTCAAATCAATCTTTTGCTTGGTTAATATGAAGCCTTCAAAATGAAGCCTGAAGAATCAGTTGCTGATATGTATGACAGGTTTACTGACATAGTAAACGGTCTTGCATATCAAGGACAACCAGTCCCAGATGCGATGAAAGTCAACAAACTACTGAGAGGACTGACAAAACAGTGGGATAATATCAAAACATCTCTTTGAGAGACACAAAGGATCAAGCCTCTATCAGTGAATGAGTTAATTGGAACTCTTCAATCATATGAGACTGAGCAACGGAATGAGGAAAATGAATCCAGAGGTAATAAGTCAATTGCATTAAAAACTAACATTGATTCTGATGCAGATTCTGAAGATGAAGATGTTGATGATGAAGAACTGGCCCTCTTCATAAAGAAGTATAAGAAGATGAAAATCAAAGGAAGAAACCTCAAAGGGAGGAAGCCTTTTGAGAAGAAGAAGACTATTGATGAAACATATAAGTCAAAGGAGGTGATTTGCTTTAATTGTAGGAAACGTGGACATATTAAGCCAAATTGTCCACTTCTGAAAAAGAAGACCAAATTTGAGAAAGCAAAGAAAGCCTTAAAAGCATAAACCTGGAGTGATACAGAGTGTGAAGACAGTGATGAAGATATCTCAAACTTCTGTCTGATGGCCAAGTCAGACTCAGATTCAGATTCTGATGCTAAAGTTGAGATTGAGGTAAAGTATCCTGATATGCCAATTGAAGTGTCAAATTACATTGATGAATTATGCTTTGAATTTAAGACTGCTCTTAAAAGAATCTCTTCTTTGAAAAAGGAAAATTCATCACTAAGGCAACAGAATGTTTCACAAAAAGAAAAAATCGATTTCCTTCAAAAAGAATTTCATCAAGTCAAGGAAAGTTGAGATTTTCTTTCCAAAGAAAATGCTGTTTTGAAAAAGGAAGTTTCAGAAATTACTTCCAAGTTTTCAAAAGGTTCAGAAACCTTGGAGCATATCCTTTCTATCCAAATTCCTTATTACAACAAATCTGGTCTCGAATTTTGTGAAGGAAAGTGATAGCTTAATTGATTTTCCAAAGGTCAAGGAGAGATTAAGACAAAGACCTCCTCGACAAGCTTATAAAAATCATTTCAAAAGGAATTTTGTCAAGTCTGTTGGCCGGAGTGCTCTTAAGTGCTCAAAATGTGGAGATCCACAACATTTTGAGAATGAATGTCCTAAGGTCTGGAGATCTATTCGAAGAGACTTTGTTAAAACAGCCTATACTAATGCTCAAGGACCCAAATAAATTTGGGTACCAAAGAAAACTTGAGATGTTGTGACTTTTGCAGGTTACCACAGAGAGAAAAAGAAAGTGGTACCTAGACAGTGGATGTTCTAGACACATGACAGGAGATCCAAGCATATTCGTTGAACTACAAAGCCTGAATGGTGAAAAAGTTTCTTTTGGAGGAAATAACAAAGGAAAAATAGTTGGCAAATGAACGGTTGAAATTGGAGGACTCA